AATTGTTCGTATTTTCTGGCCTAACATCATTAGAAACGAAGATTTACTACACCTGACCAAACAAAAGAGGGTAGTAAATGAAATAAAGTCCAGAAAGTGGGGTTGGATCGGTCACACACTCCGAAAAAATAACTCCAGTATTGCAAAGACTGCCCTAGAGTGGAATCCCCAAGGAAAACGAAAAAAAGGTCGCCCAGTACAAACTTGGAGAAGATCCATCATGGACGAGATAAGAAAACAAGGAAAGTCTTGGAATGAGGTGAAGGCCTTAGCGCAAAATAGAACCCGATGGCGCGTTTTCACTGAAGCTCTATGCTCCACTTAGGAGTTCAAGAACCTTATATATATATATATATATATATATATATATATATATTATATATATATATATATTGAGAGTACATTAGATGTAAGAGCAAATACTTACCATGTCGGGTTATTCCTCTGAGGTTTTATTCCTAAATATTTACTAAGAGATCATTATCACAAAAATTTAACTATCATTATTGCATATGGTTGTCTTTTTAACCCTTTGTCGCTTAGAGGCTTCACGGTGAAACCACCTTTAAACAAATCTTTTCCTACTGCTCAAATAGTCGTACGCTGGGACCACCAAACGGAAAGCGATGTAAAGGTACTTCCATCGTATATTTAACTTACTGGGCGATTACAAAATTCTAGGAGCAGTTGTGCATAGTTTACATCACACATTTGGTGATTTCACAAGGGTATGAAAGTAAGGTTATGTATTGTTCTAAATAAACAAACATTCTTCTACCGATAGAAGGTATGTATATGTTTAAGGTTAATTTGTTGATAAATAGATAGATAACTAAGTGAATTTTGATATTTTGATTGGTGGTTCCAATAGGTGCCACTACGTCGATCGGTAACTAATAGGTATGTTTTATTACAGAATTTCAAAATAAAAACACGTCTTGATTTGAGTAAAATAACACATACTGGCGCTTACGATTTACTAACCATCGGAATGATCTGACTTATTCGATTCAAACGAGAACGAGGATGAAGATATCAACATGACTTTGGAGCCAGGTGTTTTAGATGAACAAAATGATACTTCAGACAATAAAGTCAGTGTGCATGACAGTGACTGAGATGATGAAGACAAGGTATCAGTTATTATTCTTGATGAGTTAAAATGGATCACCGACCCAAATAATGGCACCCAATTCCATCTTTCTCAAAACACGTTGGACCAAATGTTGCTGATACTTTAGAGACTCTTCTTAAATTCTTCTTTTATTTGTTTAGTAAAAACTTATTAAATACGCTTGGTTTTTAAACGAATTTAGGCTTTATCCAAAGAAAAAAATAACAAAAAAACAATCCCACAACAGTTAAAGAAATAAAGTGTTTTTTGGAAATAAACCTTTTGATATGAGTGAAAAATGGTTGATTTGGATGGTTGCTTACTTATCTTCACATAAATAACAATTCATTAGAACCTAAAAAGGTAATGGCTCTTATGATAAACTCTACAATGTGCGGTCGTTGCCAGAGGAACTTTGAACCACTTATAAAAGTTCATTTTATTCTAGCAGGCAACAATTAATAGACTCGATGATTCAAAAAACAAAGTAAAGTAAATTTTTATAAACATAAAGTTCATAGAGGTGTTATAAGGTATGGGTATGGGCTGATGAGTCAGGATATATTTTACAATTCCAAATATACACCGGAAAAGTAAAAGATAAGGTAGCAGTACCTCGAGGAAAGAGTTATAACAGATCTTACAAGAAATTTAGTTGGCAAAAATGTCTAACCAATTGTCACAAACCTGAAGAAAATGTCACTGTAAAGAGGAAACAATATATAAACTTGCTGTGACCACTGGTTTCTCAAATGCCTAAATTTGGAAGAAGAACCATGGAAAAATTAAGGACCAGTAACAGACTTAATCAATTTAAAAAGAAAAGCTTTTAAATAGTGCGTTCTACCAGTCCTCACGTACAGAGCAGAAACCTCAACTCTCACAAAAACATCAGCCGAAAAATTGAGAAGGAGGCAACGAAAGATGGAGAGATTAATGCTTGGAATAAGCTTAAGAAATAGAATAAGAAACGAGGAAGTTCATTGACGAACCGGAGTGAAAGACATCGAACATATTACAAGGCAAAAATGGAGATAAGCAGGACATGTTGCAAGAATGAAAGACGACACTTGGACTAAAAAATTGCTTGAGTGGTGACCATGGGCTGACAATCGGAGCCGAGGAAGACCCCTAATGCGATGGACCGACGACCTAAAAAAAATCGTGACCAATTGCGATGGAAAAATCTAGAGGAGGCCTATGTTCAACAATAGACAACTCAGGGCTGATTGATGATGATGATGAAGAGACAAAAAAGTTCCTCTAGAAAAAAAAACTGACAAAGCAGTCCATATTCTTCAGCATTTAGCCAAAGTAATTTGTACATATATAGTATACTGCAGTAACAAGGCAGCAAGATGGCACTTTACTACATGTGATGTAGGTTTATGCCTATCTGAAAATAGAAATTATTTCATTACATTTCACGCTTAATAATTTTTTCGTTGTGGTTCGGAATACATATCCAAAAGACAGTAGAGACGGCAAACCGAAATCTGGAAGCATTGGTACGGTTGATGCCAAACATTGGAGGCACAGGAAGCACCAAAAGAAAGGTGCTAATTGGAGTTTTCCAGTCGGTAGTAACCTACGCTGCCCCTGTGTGGTGTAGTGTACTAAACACTGCGAAATACGCTAAGCTGATGGAGACTTCGCAAAGGCGAATTCTCCTTATGGTCTCTAGTGCATCTAGGACAGTCTCTAATGAGGCTCTATATGTCATTGAAGCGGTGATACCGATCGTTTTGTTGTGTAAAGATTGAGCGAGGATGTATGCGAGGAGGATGGATGTAAATAGACATGAGAATGAAAGAGAAAAAACGATAGTAGAGTGGCAGAGGGAATGGGCGAATGATAGTGAAAAAGCAAGGTGGACGAAGGAGCTTATTCTCGATCTGAGACCGTGGTGAAAATGTAAGTTACTAGACTAGGAAACTAGACTACTTTCTGACGCAGTTTCTGACCAGACAGGGTAGTTTTGGCACCTTCACAAATAGAATAGGCAAATCTGCCTCGGCAGACTGTACTGTTTGTGCGGTACCGGATCCTCCCGCCCACATTTTTAACTGCCAGAGATGGGCAAATGAGATGGGAGATGGGAGAAATGTGAGGCGAATGGGTTTCGGGCTGGATGAAAGAAATCTTGTAAACATTATGTTGAGAGGAGAGAAAGAATGGAGAGAAGTACACTGTCTGATTTCTGGGGTGATGAAGAAAAAGGAACAGAAGGACAGAAGAGGAAATTAAGCCTGGGATCCAAAAATTTATAGTTAATATTGTTTATTAGTTTATGGTCTAACGTATAAACATTTTCTGATTTACGGTAATAGGTATGGTTATATATAAATTTTTAGTTGTTTATTGAGTGGCATGGCCACCACTCTGGACGGTGGTTGGGGTTTTAGCCGGAACACGGTTAATCCAGCACTACCCTGGTGTCTTCTGGCTTAGTATCCCACTCGGCCGAAAGATACCAGGGTGTCTTGTTCCCTGATGTAGAGGTCCAAAAAAGATTTTCCCCACCGTTGCCTGTCAGAATTCAATGGATACCTTCTTAGGCTCTTGCTGGAATCTGGCAATACGGCCAGGCGGATATTTTTACATAAATAAACAAAATAAATTAAACTTTGGAGTGAATAATAAGCTAAAAATAGTAAAATAAACCAAAAAGTTATCAAACAAATAAATAAAAAAAATATTAAATTAACTCAATATTCAAACAAGAGTATAATAATGTATGGTCGCCATATAATGATGTTGTATCTATTCTTGTAACGTTTATGGAATTGATTCTATTAAGAGTTCCATATAGCGGAAGTCCAGGGGTAGTTTTTCTTTTTGCAAGACTTTGCAGGTGGTTAATTACTTAAATACACTAGATACTCATAATTACGTTTATTACTTCTCTAAGTACAATAATAGATAGTACCCAGTTGACGGATGACAACATTAACTTCTACCGTTCTCTTGATTCTTCTGTTTGTTGATATAATATTGTTTTTTATTTGTTTAATTTATATATGTTATTTAATAAGCTTTTGATTACATTGCAAATTTCATTAGGTCAGCGTGCGTCCTCGTTACAACGATATTTTCAATGACATAACCCCGTAACAAGAGTAACACACACGTGATATTTAGAACGTTACAATCCTTAAAGGAGATTTTTAAAATCTTTCGATATGAATACATCTCAAATGTCTTTAACTTAAATGCATTGTTGATTTAGTGTCCACGTTTTTACACCATTTTCTACGTGCTTTCAATTTTAAACTTAGGTTTTGACTACACAGTATTCAGTATCTTTCATGTTGTTAAACGTGTTAACTATGTTTATTTCTCAGTTGAATTCATTTGATTCATTCATATTTGTTCCTAGGTAATTGTAGTTTTGTCTCTATTTATTTATGTCTAATATAATATATACAAGCTAGCGTTAATCGATCGATTGAGTTAGAGTGTTAGCTGGTGTCGAGAAGTCATCCCCTCGTAAAAGGAAAAAATACATCACGTCGGCTTGGGAGGTTTAGCCAAGGATTATCTACAAGTATCCGGTCTGAGTAAAATTCCGGATCTCTTTGTTAAGACTTTAAGTGTACCACAAAAACAATTTCCTCGTAATTGGTAAAATCTACCCCACGGATTGAGTTAACCGTTAAAAACACTCGTATCTTACGATTTTCGTCATCGCGACTAAAAATATTTTGTATATAGTTATAATTAATAATAAATCCTTATGTAAGTTATTAAATTAAGATTGTGCTGTTTACGACACATATCATTTATAGCATCTTAATTCGTGTATAAAATTTATTGTTTAAACCTCACACATTAATTGATTTTAAATATTGAAAAAATCTTGTTACTGCGATCGTCAGGGACGAAAATGTTTGTGGAGTCCCAATATACAAGGGATGAAAGCACCAGACACTATATGCCAAGTAATTGCACAGCAAAAAAACTCTGGAAACAGTACAATCAGTCAGTGAATGACAACCTGCAGGTAAAGTATTGTTACTTTCTGTATATTTTCAACTATCATTTTAATATCAGTTTCAAGACTCTTGCAACAGATGCTTATTCACAATGCATTCGTCTGAGATACCAAATAAAAACAATGCCTGCAGGACCCAGGAAGGTTGAAGTTATGGCTGAACATGCGGTTCATAAAATGAAGGCAAAAACTTTTTAGTCCATGATAAAAAAAAGACGACAGGTCTTCTGTACTTAAACCTTCTTTTGATTGTCAAAAGAATCTTGTGTTGCCATGTGTTCCAGACCAGGCTGCCTATTATAGCAGGCAACTGCACCTCTACAATTTTACCATCTGTGAGGGAAATTCTACTTGTAATTAAAATCCTGTTTCGGTGTATGCTTATATATGGTGAGAACACCAAAGATATAAAGGATCTAATGAAATTGCTTTGATTGTATACTAACGTCTTAGAAATAAGGACCTTTCAAAAATACACGAAATAATGATTTTCTGCTATGGGTGTCCATGATAGTGGATAGACTACACGACAATCATCCACACATAACCACAATTGACCGGTTCGAGGTTGTGAGCTCATACTTATATCTGTGATCATTAATCACAAACACAGAGTCATTACAAGAAGGGATTAAACGTAGACGTGATCTAGCAAAAGTTGCCACAGGAAAAATGACCAAAATATGAAAGGACTGTCAAATTTCAAGAGCGATAAAGATGAGGTTGATCAACTGCTTAATATTTCCAATTCTGACCTACGGATATGAATCTTGGACTCTGAGACAATCGGAGAGAAGAAAGATAGACGCCACTGAAATGTTCTGTTGGAGACGAATGTTACGAATTCCTTGGACCGACCGTAGAACAAATAATTCAATTTTAAGAGAGCTAAAAGTTAGCCAACGACTCTCTAGTAAAGTCCATCTCCAACAATTAAAATATTTTGGGCATGTTATGAGAGCAAACACAGAAAACATGGTAAGACTCATAATACAAGGAAAAGTAGAAGGCCGAATATTACGAGAAAGATTCCCACCAAGTTGAATAGATCAAATTACAGGAATATGCCAAAGACCTATGCATGAATTAAAAGAAATGACCAGAGACAGAGATCTCTGGAGACGAACAATACACGACATCACGTCGACCACTACACTCCCCCTGGGGGGTCAGGATTGAAGAGAGAGGTCCCGGCCAAAATAAAAACATTACTGTGATTGGTATGTTGTGCAAATTTTTATATGAAACGTTAAGTTGCAAAATAAAATACCCGATAGGGTATTCGGAAGGATTGAACAAAAAATTTAAAAAAAGACACAATAATACAACCTAGTGAATATTTGAAATTTTATCACATAATTTAACACAGTTAGAAAAGTTGGGACACAGGTAGCCACAGATCTCCTACCTCCTAGATGTTCCACGATAATGCTTTAGTTGGATATGAAATTCAGCGCTCCATAAGATTTGTATCGGAACTAATTCAAGCGGGAAATTACGCGGGAATTTCAAATTTTAATTTTGGTGAGAAAATTTAAATAAAGCTTAAAATATTTAAATATAATTTGGTATATTTAAAAAAAAAATGCATTTAACATTTTTAAACTCAAATATACACAATACCATTTAGGAAAAAATAAAACAAAATGTAATTTATTTATTTATTTAACACATGTAAAACAACTTTATAATTTAGAATAGAATAAAAATATGCTATTACCACTGAAAATTGTACAATTTTATGGACAAAGCTTACAAAAAGTCAGAAAAATAGCAATTTAAAATTTACTGAAATTACATAAATCGTCAATATCACAAAATAAAAGATAATAAAATACACAATGTATTCCAAAATTTAAATAAAGTGCATAATAAATCCTTACGAACTAATACATTTAAGATTCTGCATGTGATACTGAAATATATATTTATACAAATAGTTTAGTTACTTGTACATAACACTATTCGTGAAGAAACTCTTCTACTGAATAATAGGATCTTTCAGATAGATAGGACTTTGTTCTTTTACGGAACTCAAGGAAAGAAGAAGTTAATTTAATAATTTATACCATGATTCACTTCAGGTAAAATAATGTTTGTTAATTACATATTAGGGTTACTCACTTTCTGTTACATTTGCTTCCCCACTCACAACATTGAAATAATTCTGGGATGTACATTAGAAGAAGAATCTAAAATCGATCATCAATCAGTTATTTGTTCTCTAATATCAAATATTTATTGGACTCACCATACAAATGTAAGCTAGGAATTTCATTTTTATACAATTTATGACTCCATGAAGAAACAAACTTATCTTCAAAGTGTCTTTGTTTCAAAAAAGACTCGTTTTGTTTTAAAAAATGTACTAGCATTCATCATATCTAAATTAGGATTATTTATAACACTAAGCCACTTCCTAAATCGTGTAATGTCTTCATCAGGATTTGGAAAGGCATGTCTAATTAATGACAAATTGGTACATTGTAGGATACAACACTTATTGTGAAGAAGCATATTTAACTAATTATTATTAATCTGCAAAATACTGTTTGAACACCGCCAGGAACATTTAAAACACAGATCACTGAGGTAGGGGATTTGTAATTTACAATTTACCAAAATCAAAATATAGACGCTAATATGTCAATTGGCGATTGAAAATTATAATTCTTAGTTGTGTTCTAAACCTAAACTGTAGAGTAAAGGTAAAGACTTAGTAAAGTGACATCTAAAGATTTGTATCGGTACTACAAATGACATTAAGTTCGGTTTGACCTTGAGCTACCCACGTGAAACGTCTAGTTATTAGTGGTCTGTGCAGGTAGCCGTTCAAGACTGGAAAAGTGCAGTTGCTACAGTTGTACAAAACTTCCAGGCCAACTCCACTTCAAATTTGCTTCTTCCAAAAGAATAATTATAGAAAAAACTAATCCAAACAATGTAACTGTGCAGGGTAAAATTAATTACAGGTGCAATTTAGGCGTCCTTCTTCTTCTTTGTGTGCCGTGCTTGTATTCAAGCGTTGGCTATCGTCATATTCAAAAGCTAATGAAATGATTCTCGGTCGGCAGCTAGATGATACAGTTCCTCGACCGTTCGACCTGTCCATTGTCTAATGTTACACAGCCAGGACAGTTGTTTTCTTCCGATTCAACGTTTTCCTTCGATTTTGCCCTGAATGATTAACCGGAAAAAGCGATATTTAGGTCCTCTCATTATATGACCGAAGTATTGGACTTTTCTCATTTTGATGATATTGATCAATGTTCGCTCTTTGTGCACAGTCTTTAGCACATGTTCGTTAGATATGTGTGCTGTCCACGGGATTCTGAGCATGCGACAGTAACACCATAACTCAAATGCTTCTAATTTGTTAATATTTTTTATTTTTGTTGTCCAGGTTTCACATCCATAGAACAAAGTGGAACAGACGTAGCACTTCAATACTCTTAGACGTGTCGTCGGTCTGGGCAACAGAAACACCAGAGAAAAGACATTAGCAAATTACGTAAGCACCGAAAAAATGTTTTGCCTGAACACGTTCTATAAAAAACAAATACAAAGAAAGTGGACATGGCGTAGCCCTGACGGTCAGGTTAAGAATAAAATAGATTTTATCCTTTCCTTATCCGTATTAACGTAAAGAGAGAAAGACGAAAACTATTAACAACAAACCCTTTACCGACGGCAGACATCCTAGCCAGTAATAAAGAGAAATACCAAGAGGAATTAGCACGGAAACTAGTAGCAAATACCTTTGAGCACAATAATATAGATAAACTAGCTGAGAAAATAACTAAAGACATACAAACAGTCACTAAGAAACTTTGTTGCAGAATAAGAAAACAAAAGGAAGCTAAACTAAAACCCGAAACAGGGACGCCGCAAATATAGAAAACTAACGACCAATAAGCTTATTGTCACACCGTTACAAACTACTAACCCGAATAATAACAAATAGATTTACAGCTAAACTAGATGCATACCAACCAGTGAAGCAAGCAGTCTTTCGTAAGGGTTTTAGCACTATCGATCACTTGCAAATAATTCGGACTATTATTGAAAAAACAATAAAGTACAAGATACCACTACATCTGGCATTTGTCGATTATCACAAAGCATTCGACATTATCGAGAAATGGGCTTTCTAAACAGCATTGGACGACGCCAGAGTAGATTGAAGATATGCTGCCCTCCTTAAGAATATATACCATGATGCTACTTTTCACGTAAAAATAGATGATGATCTGGAAACTATGAAAATAGACCTTGGCAAAGGTGTGAGACAGGACGACACCATCTCACGCAAGTTATTTACTTTGGCATTAGAAAATGTTTTCAAACAACTAAATTGGGCCGAAAATGGATTAAAAATGATGGAGTATATCTTAACCGTTTGCGTTTTGCAGACGACATAGTATTAATAAGCACAGATATCCATGAACTAAAATCAATGCTACAAGATTTAAATGACAAATTGAATCAAATAGGATTAAAAATGAATCTTGACAAAACAAAGATATTAAGCAACAGCCTAGAAAACATCACGATAGATAACATCAATATAGAAAAGGTAGAACAATATATATATATATATATATATATATATATATATATATATATATATATATATATATATATAGGACATGCAATTAAAAACGAAAAGAAAAATCAAACCCTAGAAATTAAAAGAAGGACTCAATTATCATGGGCTGCTTTTGGCAAGTTGAGCTTCATTTTAAAAGGCAGAAAACTCCCAATTCACTTAAAACGAAAAACCTACGACACTTGTATACTACCAGTTGCAACTTATGGATTGGAAACTATGGCAATAACAAGAAAAACGACAGAACAATTAAGAGTAACTTAACGGGCAATGGAGAGGGTCATGTTAAATATAAGCCTCAGAGACAAAATTCCTAACACCGAAATACGTCGAAGAACTAAAGTAACCGACATCATGGAAAAAATAGCGACATTGAGATGGCAATGGGTAGCACATGTAG